TCCTTGGAAAAGCACATTGGCTTGGGAGCGGGGGGAGGGGTGGGGGTCGTGTCTTGACCCAATCCGTCTTATCCTTGCCACCCCTGTCTAAGGCTGGGCGCGCACCAGAGATGCTAGGACACCATCCTCATTGATTAGAAAGGGCCGTGCCTTCGTCGACGTGTTCCCCCCGGACTCTGTTCGAATGCCTCACTCACAAACAACGAAGTGCCCCCGGTCCTGGTAGCTCCCAAAGAGGTGTTACGGCCGTCGGGACTTTTTATTCTTTTACTTTCTCAGTTTTTTCCTTCGTTTTGTAGGTGTGGGACACAGTTTACCTGCTATCTTCTGACCCTTCCTCTTCTTCCTCCGTGTTTGCAGTCGTGGCCAGGCCGTCCGAGGACGCCGACGAGGAGGGCTACCAAGGCGACGAGCACGGCGACGACGACGACCAGGACGGGGGCGCGCGGCAGCCGAGCGGCCCGGTCGTCCTCAAGAGCACGCCCGTGATGCTCACACCGCGCCCCGGCGAGACAGTCCACCTGCCCTGCGTGTCCGAGAACGGTGAGTTCCACGTTCACGTCACCTCGCTCACTCTCATGAAGTATCGCGTCACTTTGTTTTTGTGTGTGGAAGGAAAAGTCTGACCGATGATCCCCTTGACATTCCCCACAGCTGCACAGGTCATCTGGCTCAACGGCAGCGCGACCCTGGCCGTCGGCAACCTACGCCTCACCTACAAGGACGACAAGCGCATCTCCTTCGACGCGAACCACACGCTGACCATCAAGAACGTGCAGGCCAGCGACAGCAACGACTACACCTGCAAGCTGGACGAGGGCGTCACCGTCGTGCACAACGTCAAAGTGTATGGTACGTGAGCCGAACGCATGGTGCGAGCATGGAGCTTCAGGTGCAGGGCCTTGTTCACCACCGCGCCGTATGGGGCCGCTGCCTCTTCCCTGTCTCTCTCTTCATATCCCTCTTTACCTCTCTCTCATCCTTTCTCCTCTTCCCCGGTGGCAGATTGTACTTGACTAGGGTTGAGGGTACATCAAATCTAATAATATGCCGAGGGAGTTCTGCTTACTAGTACACCCCACAACGTCTTCACTAGTCACCATGGGTGGGAGGGACCCCTGTAGAAGTAGTCATTACGCTTACCTCCTTAAACTCTTTAGTAGTTTAACTGTCAGGTGGAAGATAACAAATTTGTTTTTCTTGATGTTTTGCCTACCATTATTGTAAATAATTTTAAGATCTGATCCCCCCTCCCCCCGGCGCGCGCCCCATACCGCACCCGTGAACTATTCTGTACCATTGATCACGTAGCAGGGCTTGGCTCACTTCACCATGTACTTCGCCCCGCACCTCGGGTGGCTATCTCGTGCGCCACGTGTGGTACCATACGTGTGGTACCATATGTGGTACCAGCCCCGTGCCGTCGAGTACCTCACCGAGCGTTTCGCTCGCTCCCGCGGAACCTGTTTTTTTTTTTGCGCCGTCACCGATTTGAGTGCATGTTGCATGGAGTGTTTAATACACAGTTTCCATAATCTGTAATCAGTATCACCTTGTTTTTTCTTTACCCCTGATGGTGTGTGGTTTGTACGTAACTGTAATAATAACGCTCTTATTAACTATGACGATGATGACACCGCAGTGGTGTGCCTCCCCCGATTGAACCCCCCTTTGTATCATAGTGTAAAACTGTAACTAGTAGCTGGTTGCGACGACGATGGTGGTAGCTTGTTGGTACCTTGTGGTTGTGTCTCTAGAGCCCCCGCGCATTGTGAAGATGGACCCGGTGAACAGTGTGCTGCTGGAGCGGGGCGAGTATGTGACACTCAACTGCACCGCCACGGGCTTCCCCGAGCCGCGCGTCACGTGGTCGCGCAAGGGCCGGGACCTGCCGGGCAAGAAGAAGGAGCACCACGGCAACCACCTGCACTACTCGCACGTGGACCTGAGGCACACCGGCACCTACGTGTGCAAGGCCACCAACGAGCTGGGCTCGGTGGAGAAGCCCGTCTACGTGGGCGTCTCGGGTGGGTACCATGCCGACCGTGAAATGAGGGTGCTGTTCATGTTCATGTCCACGTTCACTACTCTGTGCTCATGCCCACTACCGCAGACCTCCCGGTCATCGCGGTGGAGAAGATGGTGAACACCAACATCGGAGCCACCGCCGAGGTGTCGTGCGTCGTGCACGCGCACCCGCCCGCCAAGGTCGAGTGGCAGTTCGACAAGAAGAAGCTGCTGCCCGGGGCGGGCGGGCGCGTGCAGCTGGTGCACGACAAGCAGCACGAGAAGGACGGGCTCGGGCAGCGGTACGTGGTGCGCATCACGAACGTGCAGGCCGGGGACCTGGGCAACTACCACTGCCTCGCCACCAACGACATGGGCACCGCGCGCACCCCCGTCAAGCTGTCGGGTGAGCTGAGCGGGCACAGCTGGGACACTGGAAAT